GCGATGACGACGATGACGAAGATCATGATGCTGGTGATGATGATCATAACCTTGATCAGGACCCTGATCATGACCCGGATCATGATCATGATTCTGATCGTGGTGATGTTGATGGTGATGGTGATAGTGATGGTGATGATGATGCTGATAGCGATGATGAATAAGATGATGATGATGAAGAAGATGATGTTTATGATGGTGGTGATGGTATTGATCATGATGGTGACGCTGATGCTGCTGCTGGTGATAATGATTATGGTGGTGATCATGGTAATGCCTCTGCTGCTGGCGACGACTATGATGCTGGTGATGACGTTGGTTATGATGATTAATCGGATGGTGAGAACGAGGATGGGGACCAGGGCGACGATGATGATGATGGCAATGCTGATGGTGATCATGATGATGCTGCCGATGCTGCTGCTGATGCTGATGCTGATGGTGATGATGATGATGATGACGATGCTGATGATGATTCTGATGCTATGCTGATCATGGTGATGATGATAGCGAGGATGATGATGATGCTGATGATTATGATTTTGATTATGCTGATGATGACGATGCTGTTGATTATGATGCTGATGAGTATGCTGATGATTGTGGTGGTGAGGATGAGGGTGACGATGCTGATGATAATGGTGGCGGTAATGATGGTGATGAAGATGCTGATGATGATGATGATGATGATGATGGTGATGATGCTGATACTGCTGATGACGATACTGATGCTGATGATGAAGATGATGAATATGAGGATGCTGATGATGCTGATGATCATGCTGATGATGATGACGGTGATGCTGCTGCTGCTGCTGATGATGATGATGATGATGATGATGATGATGATAATGATGATGATGATGATGATGATGATGATGATGATGATGATGATGATGATGATGATGATGATGATGATGATGATGATGATGATGATGATGATTACGATAAAAACTTGTTGGGCCGTCTCGGGGCTGTCTGGCCTCCTGTGAGGCAGTCTTCGGGGTCCCTTGGGGTCCTCTTGGGCCGTCTTGCGGCCCTCTTACGCAGGCTTGGGGCTCTCCTGGGCCGTCTTGGGACCCACTTGGCCGTCTGGTGGTTGTCTGGGGGCCGTCGTGGGGTTGTCTTGGCGCCGTCTTGGGCCGTCGAGGTTCTTCAAAGGCCGCCTTGGGTCCCACGGGAAGCCCTCGTGGGCTGTCATGGGGCCGTCTTGCATGCAACTTCATCGCGGAGTCCTCCTGGCCATTGTGATCTGACGGCGGCCCGAAAAAGCGAGAATGCTAAAACCATTCAGCAACCACAAGGGAATTACTGATCTGGGCTTGTTCGGACCCTGCTGGAGGTCCTCTTGTGGCCATTTTGGGCCCTCTTGGAGGCATCTTGGGCCGTCTTGAATCAATGTTCGGCCGCCTTGGGGCCATCTTGGTTGCTTGCGCGAGCCATCTTGGAACATCTGGACGCGTATCCATCGTTTTTAGCGAGGGATCGTGGCTTGGGAGGCCCTGGAGCGCTTGGGAGCAGCAGCTGGGAATGCGGGAAGTGCACGATCCTCGAGCGGGTGCGCGTGGGATGAGGGGTCTAGGAGTTAGCACCCATGCAGGAAGTGCACCATCCTCGAGCGGGCACGCGTGGAAGTAGGGTTCAGGCGTTAGCTGCCACGCGGGAAGTGCACCATCCTCGAGCGGGCACGCGTGAGCTGCCATGCTGCCATCCTCGAGCGGGCACGCGGGAAGTAGACTCGGGAAAGGGGGGGGATGAATGCGGCTGTCCGCGAGCGGGAGAAGGGGGGGTCTCTTGATGGAGTTCAAGATAACCCCTACCAGACAGACTCTGGCATTCTTCCACGCCTCCACGTGCCAGGAGGGACACGGTGGCGGCGCACCGTTCCCTGCTCTGTTTCTGACGCCCGCGATGGACAGAGTGACGTGTGGATCGGCAGGATGATCGTCGCAGCTCACCCCACAAAACTGGGAGCCGGCGGTAAACCGTCAACCAGGCTACCGCCAGGACCCTCGCAGAGCTCTTCACACGCGAAGAAGTGCTCAGATTCTGAGGAGAAAGCTCCCTCGAAACTCAGCGTAAAAACTCGCAAAATGTATTGGAGAGGCCTGACGGCCGGTGCCGCCGACCCTGATCGAAAGGGCTAGGAGTGGGGGGAGGAAGCGGAGGATGAGGAGGAGGAGGAGGAGGAGGAGGAGGAGGAGGAGGAGGAGGAGAACTCGCAACATGTATTTTTTAGGTTTGGAGATGCTCTCGGACGTCTTCGTCGGCTCCTTGCCGGCTCCCCAGCCCCGGGCATGCCCTCCGGCAGCGGCGCCTCGCCGAGGGCGCTGCGGCAGCGCCCGGCTCCTCCCGCGCGGCCGCCGGGAGGTCCTCGCGCCGTGGCTCGAGCGCCGGGCGGCGAGGAGCAGTCGGGAGGGGCGGAGGAGGAGGAGGAGGAGGAGGAGGAGGAGGAGGAAGCGAAGGGGGAGTCGGGGGCGGCAAAGAGGGGGGTGATGACTAGGGGGGGGTGGATATCATGGCGAGGGCCATGATATTTCCTTAGATTTCATGGCGCTTCTTCTTATTTCATTACGTCCCTAGCCCCCCCGCTGGGCCGCGCACATGCCGCTGGTCATGATTTGCACCCCCCCCCTCGTGGACACCCCCCTCTTGGCCGCTCCCGAGGGAGGGGAGAGAGGCGAGGCGGGAGGATGGAGGGGGGGCGGGGTCACACAAAGTTGTTTTTTCAGGGTGAGGCCGCTCTGCCACCGCGGCGGGGCTCCGCACTGGCTGCGAAGCAAAATCACAAACAACGGCATACTTTTGGAGCCCCGCACGGAGTTCTTGGATCTGTGCTGGGCTCCCCTGGCGGCGCCTCCGGCGCCGCCCTTGGCGCGCTCTGCGCGCCAGGGAGGGTGGTCCAGCGCGGATCCAAGCAATCCGCGCGGACCTCCAGAAGTCGATGTTTATGCAGTTTGTCGTTGCATCAGGAAGGGTCAGGCGATCGCAAACATGGACCAAGTGGGCGTGGATTAGCGATGGGTCCCCTTTCCATGGGAGATCGCGGATCTCTGCCGCCGAGCGAGGCGGCACGGGCCGCATTTTGGGGAGGGCACCTCCTCCGATCCATGGATTTGGCGACCGCGCGCGCAATCCATGGATCGCTAATCCATAGATCGCTAATCCATGGGGGGGGCGTCGAAATCTGCTGCGTGCCGCTGGTTTTGGCCCCGCCGCCAGGGCCTTTCATCGGTACACATTGGTAGGGGCCACGTGCGAACCCTACCCCTACCCCCCACGATTTCTGAGAGGGAGGGTGGGATTCACTTCGTGCGGGAGCTCCCGAGCGAAGTGAACCCCACCCTCCCCCTCAGAAATCGTGGGGGTAGGGGTAGGGTTCGCACGTGGCCCCCTAATTGGCGTCTTCAGGCGCAGACGGGGAGGGGGCGTCGGGAAAACCTGGCAGTATGCATGCGTATATGCCGATATTCGCGAGCCCCTCCCTCTGTGCCACTCCCTGGGGGCTGGGGGGCGGAGGTCGAGGAGCCAGTGGCGTTTGCCCAAGAGCTTGCCCCCGGAGCATTACTTCCGCCCCGCGGTCGAGCCTTTCGCGCGCTGCGCGGGTGGGCGGCGGAGGGGGGGAGTGCACCCGGGGCCGCCTTGGCTGCGCTACGGCCCCTGGCTTCTGCCCACTTCCCCTCGCCGCTCTCGGTGCCTGCGCGCCTGCCTGCCCGCGTCGCCCGTCCGACCCGAGAGGCTCGGGACATGATCTGGGACCTGGTCGAGCTGGCCAACCTGCGCAGCGGGACGGTGCGGAGCACACCGACGCCCTTCCCTCGGCCTCCGCTCCCGTGCGGGGGCGCAGGCGGTCAGGAGCACGAGAGGCCATCCCCAGATTTGCCGTTTGTTTTTTTCCTTTCTGTGGTTCCGCGCGCATTCCGGAGCCGAGGTCCGCAGGATTCTCGGCCTCTCTTGTCCCAGATCCCGAGCCGAGCACGTCGGGGGCACCATCCTCGCCCTGCTCCCGGGCCTCCCGGGGAGCCCTCGCCGCCGCGGCTCGGCTCGCCGCGGAGTTCTGGCCGGAGCGCGCCCCCAATGGAGGCCCCAGGGAGTGGCGGCGCCGGCAGCCCCATGCCGCCCCAGGTGCTGTACATCACCAGGGCCAAGATAGGCAAGGTCATCGGCATCCGCGGCGCGCAGATCAAGGAGATCCAGGCGACCACGGGGGCGAAGGTGGACGTGGACAAGGACGTCGACCCCTGCAAGGCGCGGCGGCGCGCCGACGCGGGGGGCGCGGCGGGTGGCAGGCCTCCTTAGCACTTGGCCTCGCTCGGACGTGTGCACTTTTCCATCAGCGAGGACCGTCGAGGAGCATCCTTGCTCATTTGGCGAGAAAACCCACGCGCGAAACCGAACAAGAAGCACAGGGAATGGACGTCCGAGCGATGGCCAGAGCAGGCGCCGGGGCTTCGGAGAGGCGTCCCCGCAAGCTTCTCGGGAGGCCGGGTATGCCTTCTGAGGGGGCCCGCCTTGTCCGCCTCCAGTCCTCGGCGGGACGCCGCGGAGGTCATCATCGGGGGCGACCCCGACAAGGTCGAGCACGCGAAGAGGCTGGTGCTGACCCTGGCCATGGAGACCGCGGACGGGGAGTCCGAGTACCTGGACCTGCCGAAGAACGCCACGGGCGCCGTGCTGGGCATCGGCGGCCAGAGGCGTCGGGTGGGGCTCGATGCGTTCGAAGACCCAAAGACTGCACGGACATAGTTTCTCGGAGGTCCGCGCGGGTTTCTTGGATCGGCGATGGGCCCTCATGGCGCGCTCCGCACGCTAGGGAGGGGGGAATCCAGCGCCGATCCAAGAAATGCGCGCGGACCACTGATAAAGCATGTTTACGCAGGTTTTTGCTCCTCTGGTTCTACACCACGTCGTTTGGTTGGCCAAGGGACCGACGAGACCGACGAACTTGGCGACGGAATTCGGGGTATGGACGCTCCCACATCCCACAGGCTGAAGAATCGGGGGCGGCTATACACCGAGCTCCTTGGCCGACCACACGACTTGGTGTACACTTCGAGCCCCTCCCGAGGCTGCGGGAGCTCCAGCTGAGCAGCGGCGCGCGCATCGACGTCGACAAGACGCAGCCGTCAGTCTGCCGCGTCCGCATCGCTGGGACACCTGAGCAGATCGAGACGGCGACTCCAGGGCCGTGGACGATTCTGTAAGTTCGACTGTGCGTAGCGGTATCTGCGCTCGCCATCAGTCGCGATTCGGACATGCACCCCAGAGGGGGACCCCCTCCGCCACGGATGGACTTCGAGTCTATATATTCGATTCTGCAAGCGATGCCACCGTTCCAGAGTTCCACTGGACAAAAACAGAAGTGGCCCACAGGAGGCCACCCAGGGCACCAAGCACCGCCGTTATGAGGCTCTATTCAAAGGCTTCAGCTGCTGGAAGGATTCCCGACCCCGGAGCACATCCGAAGACCTGCGAGGTCCCCCGAAAAGTTCGAATACCCTTTCACACCTTCGGCCCTGAGATCCTGCCGTCGCAATTTCTGCACAAAGGGCGTTTTCGCCCAGTTTCGGGCCCCGGTCGCATGACATGTTGACCGGGCTCGAAAAATTGAAGCAGAAAGAGAGGGTCGATGACTCTGGTCGAATTTGTTTTACGTCGGATCTCCGGGGACGTCACCATTTCTGCGTCACGTGAGGCCCCATAGTTACCTCTCGACCCAGTCCTTGGGGGCATGCCGTTCGTCCTTCCCTGGCTGCCCTTTAGCGTGGGGTCCGGGAAACGGCTCAGGGTCCACCTCGATGCGGTCTATCCTGTCCGATATCGATTTTGGCTAGCCCTTATCCGATTCGATTCTGGCACTTCGACGGTCTGATATTTGTATGACGTTGTAAATCCTGCCGCGGCCGTTTCGCTTCGGTTCTGTCTCTGGGCGGGTGTGACCCAATTCGACGCACGTTCCGATCCGATCGGGCTTACCGAGTCGATGCTAACCGCTCCTGTTCTCGGAGGCTTACATGTCGAAGCACCTCCAGCGCCATCTGCCCGAGCCGCCACCAGAGCCCCTTAAACGGGAGCTTCTTCGTAAACCAGGACACTTGGCGCGCCCGCAAAGACTGCAGCCGTGGAAGAAACATAATCCATTCGTCGTTCAATCCAGGTGGAATTTTCAAAGTCCTGGTCAGCAATGCCCTGGTTTGGGGCCCAGCGCCAGCAGAGGTCCGACCTGAGTCCGCGCGGAGCTGGTCTGCGACCCCTCCTCCCAGGGTCCCTCAGTTGCCAGTGATCTTGCGGATTAAAACCTGACCTCAGGGGCGAAATTGTTTCATCCAGATCCACGGCGCCTCCAGTAGCGGAGGAAGGGGGCCCAGAACTCCAAGACGCAGTGGATATGGATACCCATCGGTCGGCAGATGTAGGTAGAAACGCGAAGTAGGAAGGCGTGGAAAGCAGATGGGGCCGCTTCTGCGATGCTGCCCTTCCTTGCAAGGTCGGATCTCATGGTGAGAGAACACGCAGCCTCGGCTGAAGGAGCGGCAGTCGGAGGAGGTCTCGGTCGGCACATCATCCGCGGCCCTTCCTGGCCGTTCTCGTCCTTCGCTGGGGCCTCCCGGGCGGCGCTTCGCCGCCGCGGCGGGGCCTGCCTTGGACAACGGGCCAGGGCGCATCCCGGGAGGGAGCCGGGGGCTGCTTCGGAGCGGACTCGGCAGGGGCGGGAGCACCACCCTGGACGTCCCTCGATCGGAGTTCTGCGGCCCCAGGGGCCCCCGTTACCGTCGGCCCGGATGGGGAGGTCGACCCTGCCAGCTCAAGGGTGCCCTTGTGTCCTGTGCCTCGCGACACGTGCCTTCTTACGCTCCTATGGCGATGTGGCCCTCGGAAGGATCTTGTGTCCTCTCGCGTGTCCTGTCCAATCAAGGCCGACTGCAATCGAGGAAAAGAAGACAGCGGTTGAAGCACCACATCGCATTGTTGCGGATGTGGGGGGTCGGGTCGAGCCGGCCAGGGTCGGTGTCGAGGTGGGTCGGCCAGATCCAAGAGCGGGCCCCGGCCCCTTCCGGGGGCCCGCGCGTCGCCCTGCTAACTGTGCCATTTCGGAGGGCCCCGGGGGGCGCGGTGGCGGGCGCTGGGGGGGCCCACGTCGAGGAGCAAGCCGCGGGTGCTCCCGAGGCGCTCAAACCATCGAGCACGGTCCAAGGCGGGAATTTATACATGACCACCGCCTGGAGGGTGCGTTTTCGGAGCCTCGGCAGGCGGTGCATAAACGGACATTTCCCGGCCCCCGGGGGCCGAAACGTGTCCATATGCGCCGCCCGGCTGGGGCACCAGGACGTCGGTGCCCAGGCGGTGGATGTGGAGAAGTCCCCGCCTCGAGCGCGGGGATGCCGACGCGTCGACAGCGCCGGGGCAGCGATGGCGTTCGTACCTCAGAGAGCGCGGCGGCGTCGGTCGGCGGGCTGGCGGCGAGGGGCGTCGGCGCCCTCCGAGGCGAAGCAGCTCGTGATGCTCGCCGTGGAGACGCCCCGGCCGGTGGAGGCGCTGGTGGCGCCGCACCTCGAGGCCAGCCGTCGGCGACCACGGCGGGTGTGGCTCGGGCCGAACGAGAGAGGGGGGGGGATTGGGAAGGGGGGGGTACGAAGTCTGCGGCATGCAGCTGGTTTCGGCCCCACCGAGGGGCCCATTCCTCGATGCATGGGCGCCAGAAGATCAGCTGCGTGAGCTGATTCTCACCCCCCCCCTTTGCTATCCCCCCTTTTCGCCCAGCCCGAGCGGTTACGCTGGGGTGTGGTTTGCGATCTGCGTCGTTGGGGCTTGAGGGGCACCACGTTGCTCTCGTTGGGCCTCGTCGGGGAGCGGCGGAGAACGCGAGTGAACTCGGCGCGGGCTGCAGACCACACCCCTGTGCAGACCACACCCTTCGGAGCCGCCGATCCCGGGGCAACGCTGGAGGGGGTGGGGCTCGGGGGGGCTCATCGACGACCGCCCATCGCCCAGTGGCCACCGATCGTGGCCCGGCGGCCCACCCCGCCCAGGAGCGTGCGGCTTCGCTACACCTTAGGCGATGCTTAAGAAAACTTGAATTTTCGGCCAGAGTCTTGATTATTCTTAATGTTTCAATGTAAATCCTAAGATTAGAATGGAAATGTTGGGTTTTTTAATTCAAGTTCTGAGACTATGAATTTCTTAACCCATGATTTCTTAAGCATTTCGCAGGGTGTACCGAGGGGCCTCCCGCCGATCTGTGGGACATGCATGGCCGCTTCCGGGTCGACGCTCCCCGCCCGAGCAGCCCGCCCTCGAACCTTTCCCCCTCACGAGGCCTCCGACGCCGCGGAGGACGGCCCGAGCGCGCCTGCGGCGTCGCCGCCGCGGTCGTCTTCGGCCGCCGTCTTAGTCGTTGCCGTCCTTGTCGCCGTCGTCGTAGTCGTCGTCGTCGTCGTCGTCCTCGTCGTCGTCCTCGTCGTCGTCGCGGCGCCATCGTCGTCGTCGCAGCCGTCCTTGTTGTGGTCGACGCCGTCGACGTGGCGTCGCCGCCGCCGCTGTCGTCGACGTCGTCGCCGTCGCCGCCGTCGTCGACGTCGACGTCGTCGACGTCGTGGGGGCGTCGGCGTTGTCGTCTTGGGCGCGATCCCGAGGACGACCCGAACGCGCCGCCGACTGCCATCTGCACGGTGCCCATCCCGGCGGGGGCGTCGGCCGCTAGGCCGAGGGGGGCTATTTGTCAGCCACTGGGCATCAGAGATGGAGGAGGAGAAGGAGGAGTTTTGCGTGTATGTGTGAGCATGCATCTATGCACATATACAGATTCACATTTATATGTTTAGAAAGGACCCGAACGAGTTTCGATCATCCTGGGCGCCAAAGAGGCCCCCAAGACGGCCCAAACGAGATCCAATACGGTTCCAAGACGGCCAAAGAGCGCTCCAAGACGCCCTCAGATGGTTCAACGACAGGTCAAGAGACTCCAACGCCAAGAAAGGCCCCCAAGTAGCTCCAAGACGGTCGACGAGCCCCCCCCAAGACGCCCCGAAGAGCCCCAAGAGAACTCCAAACAAGCCCAAATCGTGCCATTATTTTTTAGAAAACGTGCAGTTTTAGCCATATTCGCTTTCTTGTCTTCTAGGGCTCCTGAATTGTTCAAGAGGCCCTCCAGATCGCCCCAAAACAGACCCAGAGGCCTCCACAAAGCCTCCAAGAGGCCTCCACAAAGCCCCTCAAAATGCCCCAAGACAGCCCCAAAGAGCCCTACGACGGCCCAAGACGGCCCCAAGACGGCCCAAGGGAGCTCCGAGACGGCCCAAGACGGCCCCAAGAGGCTCCCAAGAATCCCCAAACCCCCAGCCGAGCCCCACGACGGCCAGAGCCCCCCGAGACAGAGAGCCCCAAGACAGTCCAAAAGGGCCCCAGGACGGTCCAGAAGGGCCTCTAAGAAACCTGGAAGCGCACCGCACGCGCTGCCCCGCTCGCGGTAGCTACAAAAGTGAGGCTGAGCGCCCGAACGACCTCGTCCTCGCTCACTCGGTGCAGCGCGTGCGCGCTGGCGCACCGCTCTGCAAAACTGTGCCGTTTAGGCCTCGTGCATGTCTAACTCACCGCCACAGGGGTGACGTTGCTCTCTGGAAAATACAAAACGCCCGCGCACACGGTTTGGCATTTCTTCGTAACTGGCGTCCTTCGCGGTAACAAGCTACCACGGTGGCCCCTAAAGCTTCCAGTAGAACCCAACAGGCATTCAAAGACCACCAGAAGCCCAAAAAAGCTCTCACGAGATTCCCGGAAAGTCATTCAAAGAGGACGCCACGAAATAAACTTTGAAAACGGTAACAGGGACGCGTTCGCAAACGACGAGTAAATGAGGGGCATGTGGTGCATAACAGATTGGAAAACGCAGGTGCCTACGACAACAAGGAACCCTTCGTCCTTTTGGGTCTTCTCTCTCTCTCTCTCCCGTGCCCCGCCTGCCGCCTGCGCGCCGATCCCGAAGGGCCAAGGTGCATGGCGCGAAGAGCCCATGTGAATACACGCATGTGTATACGAATACTTTTTTGGTCGCGGCCGCGAGCGAAGAGCGCAGGCGGCGAGAGAAGTTGTCCGGGCCTACGGGTAAACCTAATTAGCTGCAGGGCGCAACTGCGACCGGCCGGGCCAGCTCAATAGGCGGCCGCTGGGGCAGCAGGGCGAGGGCTGGCTGGCTGATGGGCACCCAGGGAAGCTGTGTATATGAATACACGGAGGTGTTTAGTGTGCCTAGTTCTCTTGCTCTACACATTGTTCTCGCGGAGCGTTTGCGCGACGACCAATCCTTACCTGTGTCCGCGCATTGTTAGGTGTTTGCCAGGGAGCGGGTTGCGACGAGCAAGCGTCATACGTAAAGAAGAGGAGGGTGGAAGGGGCGAAGGAGGCGTGAGGGTCATCGAGGAGAAAAGGCGGAATGGGACGGGGAGAGGGATGGGCGCGATGAGGAGGGGATTTGAGGAGGAGGAGGAAATGGCTATGAGGATGAGGATGAGGGCAAGGGGGAGTGATGAGGATTGGTGGTAGGGGGAGGTTGCAGGTGAGGAGCAGGAGGCAGGGATAAGGTACATGCGTACAGGATGGAGGAGGGTTGGTCTCTCTCTCTCTCTCTATCTCTCACTCCCCCACCACCCTCTCCCTCCCTTCCTTCTTTACCTTTCCTCTCCCTCTTCATGGGAACGAGGAGGGAGGGCTAGGTAGATGAGGGAGAACGAGGGCGCCGATGAAGAGGACGACGGGGGAGCAGACGGTGGAGAATGAGGAATCATGGAAGCGGGCCATGCGGTATTCGATGTGTTCCGGAGGCTCTCCTATGTTCCAGAGGAGCCCGAGTTCCCGGATGAGTAGAATGTTCAAGGAAGCTTGCAGGGCGGTCGAATGAGGAGGAGGAGGAGAAGGAGGAGAAGGAGAAGTGAGGAACATGAAGAATTGATAAAGCTAAAATGATGGAGGAGAGAATAGGAGGCGGAGGGGCATGATGATGATGAGGAGGAGGAGGAGGAGAGGAAGCAGATGGAGCAGAAGCAGGCGGAGAAGGAACAGGATGATGAGGATGATGATGATGCTGATGATGATGAAGATGATGCTGATGATGATGCTGCTGATGATGATGACGATGGTGATGATGATGATGCTGATGATGATGATGATGATGATGATGATGATGATGATTACCATGATGATGATGATGATGATGATGATGATGATGGGTGTTCTTGAACTATAATCCTGGGGCAGAATGAGTGCCGCTGGACATCAATGTCCATCTCGGAGTTGCGGGATAAGGTCATCTTTATCTGCCTCCGCAGCCTTTTCTCTCGAGATGCGGCCAGAGGAGGCCTGGATTTCATCGATCGCCCTCCTCTTGGCCGGGTTCGCCCTCGGTCCAGCCTCGCGCGGGCTCGCGCCTTCTGGTGGCGGGCCGCCACCACCCGATCCTCCGCCGGCTGCGGAGGCGCCCTTGGAGCCAGAGGCGCCCTCAGCCGAGGCCTGCGCCGCCTGGGTCCAGCCTGCTCCGCCGTGCGCGGAGCCGATCGTGGAGCTGCGGCCGCCCTCCATCGAGGAGTGCGTCGCCTTGCTCCAGGAGTGCTCGGCGGGGGCCGGGCAGGAGCCTGGGCAGCAGCTTGCAGTGTCGCTCGCGGGCCCGCTGCTCGTGGAGGCGCTTCGGTGGCTGCTTGCCGGGCTGGGGTGCTGCCGACGCGCCCTGGTGGAGCAGCCTCCACCGGCGCCCCGGCCAGCGCCGTCTGTGTTGCCTGCGGGCAGCCGAGCGCATCAGCAGCCGCGTGGTTCGGGCGTGATTAAATGATAGAGGGTGATGAGCTGTTCATCGAGTATGCGGTCGACCCTCCGTTGCTGCACGGCCGCACTGTGGTGGGTGTTTCTCAGCTTCAGCCCCTCCACGCAGTGGTGGTCACTCCCGACAACGATCTGTACGTGGAGGAGCTGGAGCCCGCCAACACGGACATCCGCGCCTGGTATCGCAGGGCTCCTGGCGGGGGGCCCCCGCCGGCCGCGGCTGCAGGCATCCCCGTGTACGACTTCGCGCAGCCCCTCACGCTCGCCGACTACCACGCGCTGCGCCCTGCAGCCCTCAGGCTCGTCGCCGAGCACGACGCCGCCTTGGCCGCCGCAGGGGGCGCCGATGCCGTCGTGCCTGCCGGGCTGGGCCACGCCGCTGCCGCTGCAGCAGCGGCGCCCATCGCACCTGCCGCTGCAGCCGGGCCTGCCGGCCTCGCCGGTGCTCTGGCGCGTCCGCCCATTCCCGGGGCTCCCGCTCCAGCGTACGTCGCAGCGGGTGCTGGAGCTGCTGGCGCTGCAGCCGCCTTTGGCCCAGCAGCGGGGGCCCCCGCGGCAGGTGGCATGGGCGGCGGCGCTGCCGCCGCCGCCGCTGCGGCTGGGCACGAAGGCCTCCACGCTGCTCTCGCAGGGGGCGCTGGGCTTCCACCAGCTGCTGCAGGGGACGACTTCCGCACGCTGGCCGTCACCTACGACCAGGAGGGCCGGCGTCACAAGGAGTTCCGCGAGGGGGTCAGAGCCATGCGCCAGCAGTCTTGGCCGGACTGGGTCGTGCCTGGCCCTTGTACGGTCCTGTGGTGTGCCAACTACATGCTCGAGAATGGCGGGTCGGCGGTCGGGCACCACATCGCTTTCCGCTCCGCCTGCCGCCTGGGGCTGGACGATCCCGTCATGCTGCTTCACTCGGAGATGTCAAAGATCTTCCAGACCGCGCTGTGCTACGATCAGCTGGACGCCAGCAACATCGCCGCTCTCGAACTCATCTGCCGCCAGATCCAATTGTGCGAGGAGAAGCTCAAAGACGTTCTGCTTGGGTCGTCGGGCCCCGAGGGCCAGCATGACGAGAGCTTCTTTTTCACAGGGCTGCAGAACACTCGAGGGATCATGGTGTGCCCGGCTTTGGCAAAGTGGATTTCTGAGCAGGTCGCCGCCGAGAACGCCGTGGCCAAGGAGCGCCGCAAGGCGCGGGAGGAGAGGGCTCTCGCGAGGCCGCCGCCGGGCCGGGGGCCACGGCCGGGCCGCGGCAGCGGCTCGTGAGCCGCGGGGCCTCTCGACAGGACAAGGCTGCTGCCCGCGCCCTGGCCGCGCGCGGGAGCTCCCAGTGCAGGCCCTTCGCTCCTGGCCCAACATGGTGGCCAGTCGTCAGCGAGACATTTTCCCTCTCTCCCCGCTCGTCGTGCCCGCCAGCCTGCCTGGCGGCTCCCGGGCTATTCAGCGACGGCGTCAGCGGCTTCAGCACAGCGCTAGGCTCGCCAACCACGCTATCGAGTCCCTCAATTTTATGGCTGGCCGCTCTACGACGGGCCCGCCCAGCTGGACACGGTCACCCAGTCCCTCGCAAAGGAGCGCGTGCTGGACAATTGCGTTGCGCTGGGGCCCAAGCCGCAGGACGTCAGCGCCCACGGGAGCCTCCGCGAGCTCTGTGGGAATGCCATCACGCATGGCGACTCCTCCCCGGTCGTGCCCTACAACAAGGACCTCGTGTCCTGGCCCGAGACGGGCGCGGCGCCAGTGCAGCTGTCGGACGCGCTCGCCCCGGAGCACCACACATGGTTGAGGGATCTATTGGCCAACTCGCGTCGCAGTACCGCTGACGCTGACCGCCTCAGGAAGGAGTTGGGCTTGGTGCGCCCTTACTCCGACCCAGCCTTCCGCACCATCTCCAACTACGCT